TGAAGAAAAAGCAGCAGCTTTACAGACCAGAACTGGAGAACTTGTAGAGGAAATGGATGGCAGAAAAGCGAATTCTGATAGGGCATCCAGGATAACATCACAAGAAGAGAAAAGGAAACAAAGTGTTGCATGACAAATTTGAATGGTATCGAGATTCAAAAATAAAAACTTTAAACTGGACAAGCTAAGGAGACGAGATAAAGAATCCCATCGACAAGCTGTAGTTTCCTCATATACAGATAACAGAAAGAAATGGAAGGATTATGAATGATAGTTAATTTTTCCAGAAATTTGGGGAGCACTAGCAACCTACAAAACTCTTAAAAAAAGGCCAGTAGCCGATAGACACAGAATGCTAAAGCAGAGGGGAAAACAAAWGCCTACTGTAACAGGATAGTCACAAGCCAGAAACAGTAAGAATGAAAAGTGCATTTTCAGGATTTAAACCTGCTTCTATTCCTATGACAAAACAACCTAAAAAAAATGTAGCAAGCATGTATCCAAATTTAACAATTTAACAATCCGAATAACAACTACCAGGGCTTTCCCAAATATTTCTCATGCCAAGACTCCTGTTTTCAAGTACCTCATATAATGACCCAGCCACACAATTCCAAGCCACCACTTGATACTGGATACTTYATACTACAATTTTTTTGAAACCAAAGAATTATGCCCAAATTCAACAGTTCATTAGTGAAGAGGATTAACCACTGATAMCCTGAACAAAGCTAAAACATTACCCATCTTTATTTACATTGTTAAAAACACGTTGTAAATAAAGGCATAACACTCTGATGCATGACATGTAAAGAGGTAACAGATTTCCTTTCAGAAACAGGGATTTTTTTTCTGCTCTTTCCCAGTTTCTCAGATAAACCTAGCGAGTAATGGAGACTCAAAGAATGTCTGTTTCTAAAAATTACCAACTCAGTGAATCACTTTTTACAGCACCAAGTTTGCAAGCAATCCCTTGCAGAAAGCACACCCATGCTGCAGAACCTTTATTTCCTGAGTATTTTCAAAAAATTTAAAGAAATAGTAAACAAATAAGAGACCAACTGTCACCCTGTGACTTGTTCACCAGTTAATAGCAGCTCCAGCACTTTTYTGGATAATGCAGTTGTCAAGTGAATAGACAAAGAATTCTACAAGCATTTTTCAAAARGTGAAAGCTCTTAGAAAAGTAAGTCCCTCCAATCACAGTAACTAGTGTTTGAAGCAATTTATTAAGAAGGTGGTATTTCAAATGGTTGCTAACTTTATTGCTATTTCTGTTAAAAAGAAGAGGGTATAATTGAAGCATAATTCTGACAACATAAAGTGACATTTTCATTATTGTCCTTCAACACAGGAGTTTAAAATACGTGCCTCTTTCAGCACAKGAATGTGTCATTCTGAGCAGTGACCTACTGCCTTTCCTTAAGAATGAAAAAGTTCAAATCATCATTTCCACTGAAATGCCCTAAAAATAATCACAAACCATGCATTTTTCAAAATACTGTGAGCAAGTGTGATTTGCTGCTGGTTGTTCTCACCTGATCAAAGAGATCTGTACCATCAGCTCCTGCTGCTTTCATTAGTTCATCCTCACCACCAGGATGATATTCCATGTATGGTGTGACATTATATACATATCCTGAAGAAAATGGAATATAAAAGCTATGAGCAGCATTTCTACAACTGCTCCTGTCTCCAAAAGCAATGGAAAGGTTAGCACAAATTAAAGAGTGTACTAGCAAATAGCAGGCATAATTGGAACAAATAGTRTGACTCCACAAAAACAGAAACTAAGTTACTCAACTGTATAGAGTACAAGAGGTATCTTATTACATGGAGCAAGAGGTATCTTATTACATGGAGATGCCAATCCTATAATGCCATACCACTTGCCCTGAGTTAAGACTTCAAMCTARTGCTTCCAGAAGAAGCTTTCAGGACATTGGGAAGTGTACATTAGACACTTCAGGAGAGAAAGGCATTCAGCACTGAGTCTTGGGGGAGACATAATCGGGACAATCCTAGTTGGCAAGAACAACCATCCCAGTCAACAACAAAGACACAGTCAATAACAAAAGAAGGATCTTTGCATACTTTACTGACCTGCTCTTCTGATGGCTGTATTCACTATGCCATCTTGTGTGCAGCAGTGATTACTGCACACAATAAAATCTAAGTATCTGCATAGTCATAGCCTCCTGAATATTACTCAAATTTACATTCAAACTTACTGGAGCAAAAGAAATCTCTTTTATATACCCTTTACACTTTTTTAAACACACCCCTGAACCCCTCTTTATATATAAATTTGTGGCCTATATGACAGCTTCCTTTGATGAAGATCACATGAGGTTTTGAATAAAGTTAGCTCCATTTCTTCTTTTACTTCACATTCCTCTTACAAGTTCCTGCTCTTTCTTATAAAGACACTGTCTAACTACCAATGCAGAGATGTCATTTAGCTTTTCCATAATTACGTTGTTGTACTTCCTGTCCACTTATGAAGTCTACAGATGATCTATTCTCAGTTATGATGTTTTTTTCACTAGTCATCTGAGAAAAAAATAAAAGGTACACATTGAAAAATTTAAGGAAAGACACAGATGCAGCTTGGTGGAGTAAAAACCAACCTCAGACATGCATTGAATATAGGATGAGATTAAAATGAAAACAGAAGCATTTTTTGGCASTAATTCTGTCTGCAGTAGATTTTCTTTTTCCAGAGTGAAAAATGAACAGATGTCCATAGCCAAACAGTTTTCTTTAGCTGTCACCCTGCTGTAGTTTTACTAGCATGTGCACTGCAGACAAGGAATTAACAATCCTATTATTTTGCTCAAAGGCAAAAATACACTAAAGGAGTTTACTCCTTTCTGTAGGACAATTAGGAACTTCATTTGCAACCCTGAAAATACCCTTCTGTTAGGAACTTCTATTTGCAACTCTGAAAATACCCCAGCTATTCCTCCAGACCACCTTCGTACATTGCCAAATATATGACCTATTATTCTATTTCTGAGTTAAAATTTCCTTAAAATAGTAACAGAAATAGAATGGTGTGGTTACCACAGGTATTTGTTATTGTAGACAGAGTGTGGCAACTGCCATTTATATGAGTARATTTTAAGAAGTAGTATGTGGACTTGCAGTTATTTCCTGAAGACCATTCTACCGCTTTAAGTAGTATTTATAACATTTATATGCCTCTGAATGCTCTAATGCTCTAAAAATAGTCAACTGCTCAAAATAAAATTGTCCAAGCCTGAGGAGTGTAAGTACATGTCACCGTTTTCAAAACCCTGTTTTCTTGTTAAGCTCTTCTWATTTGATACATTACCTCAAATCTTGTGTTTAATTATTTTCATAGGCAACTACAAAATAGGTATAAAATATGCCCACTTGGAAGAAATCTTAAGAAAGGCTTGAAAGCAAATAAAATCTTTGCAATACAAAATCTCTCATTTGAAGTTATGCCCAATTATGTCAAGATTACACCTGGCCTAAGAACAGGAAGTGCATAGTTCTTTTTGGAGTGTGGCTTTTGTTGTTGTTGTTTGGGTGTTGTTGCTTCTTCTTTAAGTACAGAGAAGAGAAGACAGGTGAAAAACGCAGAAGTAACATCACAGCAACCAACCTCTTATACATATCCAGCAGTCCTCCTTTCTGTTRTGTTTAGCGAGCTCATCTTCAGTCACTTCAATCAGCCTCCCTTTCAAACCAGTCAAGTCCTTTCCACTTTTAGTTAGTCGAATCCAATCCATAAGACTCCTCCCTGGCTTTAAAGGTACCTGAAATATAACAAATGCACAAACAACTTCAAACTCTAAAGGAAGAAAACGCCATTCAATACACTTTTCTAAGMTCTCTAGGAGGGTTCAGACAAAAATTAAGAAATAATCCAGCTCATACTGGTGTTTGGAAGCTTACTCAGCAGTAAGGGTGCTTAAGAAAGAACCCAGGCACAAAAATTACTCAATATCAACAAACATTCAGATGACTCTTCCCAAAGCAAACTGAAGATACCAAGTCTGCCTATGGTGGTGAATCGTTTGAGATACGGTCTGGAAATCTACAAGCAACAAAGAAAGGAGGTTTGRAAATCATGGTCGGGTAAGAGAAGGTTGGAAAGACCACCTTCACAATGTTCATACTTTCCACAAACCCTTCAGCCGGGACAGAAGTCTATTAGCTTCCTGGAGAAATATTGCCATGGCCTGCCCTGGAAAGCAGAGCAGGATCTTCACCTTCCTTTTCAACAGCATCATAGCCTGAGAACCCTTTTGATCCAAACTTAAACAGCAGGAAACACGGTTAAGGAACTGCAGTTTCACAAAACCACAGGGAACACAAGCAAAAACCCTAAAGCGTAGGTAGACCCTCACTGTGCAAGCGAGGTCTGCAGACAAGAGTTCTTAAAACCCCTTCAAAGATGAAGATCCAACACATGAAGCATAAGCTGCGCGCAGYAATTCCAAGGTGAAAGTCTCCATCTCTGCGCAGGAGGAACAGCCTGGGCAGGCAGTGCCGGAAGCGTTATCACCGCCGCCTTTTAAACGAGAAGTGCCAAGRGCTCTCCAGCGACGCAGCCGAGCCGGCCCTCGCCCGAGACCTTGTCGTGGCCCCTCGGTGGTCGCTAGAGTAGGACACCGCTGGAGGGGAGCAGTGGGCGGCAGCCCTGCCCCAGCGGCAGCCGGGAACAGACCGGGAGCCGACCGGCAACACCGCAGCTCGGCCGGGCGGGGCCAGGCCAGGCAGCCGCCGCCGACGCAGCGGGGAAAACGCGGGCGCCCTTCACCACCCCTCAAGCGACGATCAGCGGCAGTGCCGCCCGTACCTTGCTGCGGGCGCCCGCCGCCGCTCGCTGCTGGGAGCCGGGCGCGGGGAAGGCCGACGGCGGCACGTTGAGCATCCTGCCGGGCCGGGCCGCGGCCGGGCCCCGGCGGACGGGCGGGCGGAGCGCGGGGGCACAGAGCGCAGGCTCCGCCGCGGCGGGCGGGGCCGAGGCCTGGCCGGGAGCAGGGCCGGCCGCCTCCGCTSGGGGACGGGTGGGGGTAGAGCGCCCGGGCCCGGACATCCCTGGGAGCAGAGAGCCGCGCGTACTCCGTACGTTGCCTTGTCTTCCCTGGGATAGGGGTTTGCCTCCCCCTGCACTGAGGCTGGTTTGCCGTTCAGGTCTCCCAGCGCCGGGTACTTGAGCTGGAAGGTTGTGACAGACACAGCTGCTGCAGCTGACACGCTCTGAAGGTGAAGCGTGACAAGGCTCTGTGTGAGGGCCCGCTTCCGTCCTGCAGCGRGGCCCTGGGAGCAGATGGGACGGGGCAAGCACTCCCTGGAGGGTGTTGGCACACTGAGCCAGCCCGGCCTGCAGCAGCACAACACAGCACTCAGGCAAGGGCAGATCCAGGTAAGTACACAGGCTCTATCTGACAGGGGCACTGGCCTTTAATTTAAAGCTTGTTTTGGTGTTATTTTAGGGGCTTTGGTCTTCGCCATGATTGGTACCAAACTTTGCTTCAATTATTAAAACCAAGTTTAGTATCATAACTCAATTAGTCTTATTTCTTCATGCCCACTTCCCAAACAAATGCAGTATGAAACGATTACTTACGTGCAACAACACAGCACGCACATACTTKAGAGCGCAAGTGACTTAAGGGAAACACTTCCACAAAATAAGAACTACATTAGCATTTGGACTCTTGTCTCAATAGAAAACAGCTACATTGTTTCTCTTCTCCATGTTTGAAACTCTGTTGTAACAGCAGGCACAACACAATTAGAATCCTTAATCCAATGATTCCTTGATGCACTTCCATATGGAGCCTACTAAATCACAATGACAAGCTTTCCTTTTGTCCTCAGACTCTGAGAAAGTCACATAACCATAGAGCCTTTCAAAGCAAGGCATCTGTGCCCTGCTTCAAAAATTGGTGTTGAAGTTTTGATCTACAAACTATAGGGCCTCAGATATAAAAATACTAATCAATACTTTCCCCCTTTAAACCGGGACAAAAACAGAACAAAGGAAAAAGACTCAGATAAAATTACAAGACATCTCAGTGTTATTAAGAATAACTTACATAGAAATAAATTATCTTTAAAAATATTATAATACATATTTATATTAAGTTTAAATTAAGTCTTAGAAGTGGCATTGGCATTCCCTGCAATCAGCAGCCTGATTCTGTTCTTGAATCTTGTTCAAATTCATCTTCATCATCTTCACTATCCGAGTCTTCRTAAAAGGAAATTGTAGCTTGAACTGGGAAGTTTTTCAGAAGTGCTTCAGCTTCCTGATACAAGTAATCGTAGCATCTTGATTTGGGCCAGAATAGTCTGAAACAAGTATACAATGGATTTACTTATTGTTGTTGCATACTTTACATGGAGTCTGAAATGCAAAACACCAAAGTGAAATACTATTAAGACAAGCATCCTACAGAGCTATTCCTTACATACTCAATTGCTTTTTACATTCAATTAGGAAGAAAAAAAATCTCTGGATACTTACTTTCATCTGTAGAGACAAAGATGCATTCAAAGTGCTAGATTTGCAGCAAAACTACTGTAAAGCCCAAGACCCCCTGCATGTGAAACTTTCCACTCCAGTACCTTGTTAACAGTACTACCTGGGGATCTGATCCAGGTAGTACTGCCCCTMCTGGAACTATTCATAGGGAATATAATGGATGCCAAACAGGACCAAAATACAATTTGAATCAAATTAGTAGTYTTCTTACTGAAGGTCCCCAGCCAAGGTAGCTATTAATACTTCTTTCACACCATTGTAAAATTCAAAGCAATGATAAAGGTCTAGGGGTGATTAGGCCTTGATATTTCATCTGTCTTTCCAAAAACAGTCAACACACTCCTTAAGGAAGATGTCCCACAGAAGCAGATTTTAAAGCAATCTGTGTTGTATCCAAAAGAGGCTGATAAGATCATAGGAAGGGCTATTGGCTAATGATAGTATATTGAAATTAATATAATCCAAGTTCCTGTTCCTTTTCAGCTACCATCCTCTTTTGCTCACAGTTTGAAAATCACTAGAAGGAACAGACCATGGAAGTCCCAAGAGTCAAGGGACTAGCATACTGCAACATAATTAAATGCTAGCTACAGACTGCTTAAAATAGAAATGCATTAAGAAACAGAACTAGGTGGCTTTCTAGCAATTACAAGAAATGCTTTCTAGGCTACAGTTAGCAGAACACTGTTTCCTTAGYAGCACAAAGTCACTGACATCGGCTTTTTAACAGGTCTCCATTCACAGTGCTCCCTGCAACAGCATTCACTCAAATCTAAGCATTGGAGCAGTCCCAGTGAAGTCTGCATATAGTTGCTTAGTGCATCAGTATTTGAAGAATCAGAGCCTGGATTTGAAAGAAAGCAGCATCTTAGAAAGAAGTACCTGTACAATTATTTTAAATACCTTGCAACACCTACCAGCATTTTTGAATACAGACTCTCCTACAGATTCAATGTTYTTTTCCGTTTTCTTTTCCTTTTTCCAGTTATTTTCCATTGCCTTTTCAGAACTGACTGTGCATTACCCTCATCATTAAAGCAGTAGTTACACAGGTAAYTTCCTCGTCAGTGGTGGCTTAGCCAGTCCATACTCTCTCCTTCTGCCATTCTCTCCCATGCCTCCACCTGCTTCCTTGCTCTGGGAAGGCGCTGGATCTTTTCCCACCACAGCCTAAGGACTCGGAACTSCCTTGCCTTATTTAATCCTGGGCACAGGCATGAGTAGCAAGGTGTTTCAGCCAACGCCATCCCCACAGAAAACACCCACGTAACTGTAATATGTCTTAAGTCCCACACCACAGAGGCACATCAATGCCTCAAAGATGTTAAATCCGCGAGTCCTGGCAAACATTTGCCCAAGGATCTGTCAGTTCAAAAGCGCATAGATGACCAATTCACTCCCAAGGCACTTTAACGTCTACATAAATATATGGGTGGAAACAAAAGGGGCGGGAGAGCGAGTGCTACGGCGCTACAAGGACGATCAAGGGACTCCCTCCCGGCCGTGCAGCGCCACGGGCCCCGGGTGCCTGGAGCTCCCCCACGGGAACCGGYGACGGCCCGGGACAGCCACTTACCTGACGGGGTGCGTGTACTGCGCCAGCTTTCGGGAGCCTTCCACCAGCCCACCGGAGCTGTGTGGCTGCGGAGGAGAGAGCAGAGGTCAGCCCGCCGGCACGGCACCGGGCCCTCCCCGAGCATCCCCGCCCCGCCGGGACTCCCCAGCCGTGTGTGCGGCGATGCCGGCGGCAAATGCTCGGCCGGGCCGCGCCCCACTCACCGCTGCGGGGCCGGGGCCGCTCCGCCGGGCCGCCTCACCCGGCACGGGCACCCACGGTCTCCAGAAGGGCGCGGGGCTGCGCGGCGAGGGCAGGGCCGTCAGAACCGGGCCGAGCCGCCCCCCGCACCGCGAAGAGAGGGGCGAATAGCCCTGCGAAGGCAGCGCCGCCGAGAGCGARCGRGGGCAGCCGCCCTCCATCCTCTGCCGGACCGCGGCCGCTCGCCTAGCGCTGCCGCCCGCGGGCCCGGAGGCTTTTATAGCCGGCGGCGGGCGCTGCGCGGCGCGGAGCCCCCACCTCCCCCGGCTCATCTGCCAGCGCCATCCACAAAAAGGCTCCGCGCGAAGGCGCCGCCGTGTAAACACGGGGCGCGGGCGCGTGCATGCCCCAAATGGCCCGGGGAGGGGAAGCGGGCGTGGGGGGGATTTGGCGGGTCGGTGTTAATCGCACTTGAGCAGACACATGGCAGCTGCCGGGGGGCGGGCGGGGGCAGCCCCTGTGGGAACGGAGCTGGGGGCGGCGGCACCGGGGACGCGCCCTSCCGCTCTGCGCTCCGGCGGCGGGTCCGGCCGCCGCGACCGCGGCCTTTTGTTGTTGCAGCCGTGTTTGTTTATGCCCCGRAGCGGCGAGGCACGGCGTGTGGGCACCGCGACCCGCCCGGCYACGGCAGCGCCCGCCGCTCCCCGCRGSAGCAGGCACGGACAAAGGGATCCCACCCCGGACTGGCGGAGAACATGACGCTCTTTGAAGGGGTCCTTACTCAATAACGCGACACCCTCAGTGCGCTCCCTAACGTGTTCCCCCTGAGGCAACGTTGGTGATTCCTTTAATATATTTTTTTTTCTTTTATATATATATGCACACCCTTTTTGATAGGGTATTTTTACCGAGGAAATGTGCCCGCCTCAATTCATTTATCCTGTGACCCCAATACTTCATTCCGCTGCCAGCATCGGATGCTGTCACTACGTGTGCAAGGTTTTATGCTGAGCTTCTACCATTTCAATGTTCCTCGGTACCAAGGGAGTTTACTTTTGTTTCCATTTTTATTCATTATTTTTGTTTCCCCTTTTCTCTCTGAGATTGCATGTGAGGGGGCAGAAACAAGTTATATAATAGCTGGTAAACAATAGTAATATCAGCCTTGAGGGCTAGGAGGTGTGGTGGGATGGAGCTGCCCTAGAAACTGAAGGAGGGCTTAAATCCCAGGTAATTTATTGTCCCRTTAAAGACCCATATTACTGAGACAYCACAAAGAYTGAGACACTCTTTGGAATAATACTTTGCCTCTTTGAGTTTGTATGAGGCATAAGGAGTGTGTCTACCTTAGCACTGCCCAAGAGTAGCTTCAGGTAGCTACTACTCTAAAGAGAACAGATACAGACTTGTGCCTTCTCCACAACATCTTCAGCACAATCCACTTCACTAAATAGTACCAGCACTAAAATGTTGCATATTAGAAGCTGTGTGGGAAATGTAATCAGGTTAATTTTTCACATCTTRAAGTCAAAACCAGATGTAGACTGGTTTTGGAAGAAGAGCAACCACTTACTTTGAACAAGAAATAGTTGGAAGAGTACATGCATTCAGGCTTGTSCGTGCTGTGAAACATTCCAGCCTTACCAGTGGAAATACTCTCATTTTGGAGGTTTGTGCCATTTGGCCACTTGGAAAAATTGATAATTATGACTTAAAGAGTTAATAAAGGAAAATGTATTTTCCAGTGAAAAATCCAGTTTAGTAGGATGTGTGATGGCTGGAGCTGTTTGTGTTTTTTCCTGCCTCATTTTCACTGTGGCCTAGAATCAGATTTGTTAAAATCAGTGTGAATAAAAGGCTCAAACTACAACCTATACTCATCTTAGAGCTAAGTAATGGAGAATAGAGCAAAGTAGAGTAACTTATGCAGTAAACTGAAAGTGATCATGACCAAATTTTTTTCTATTTTTCCTCTTCTTTGAAATAGCTACTATGAAGCTTAYCAGATGAGGTAAAGCATAAAAGAAATGTTTGAAAGTTTTTTTATGCTAGATACTTCTTAGGCCTAAATGAAGTGAGAGCAATAATTTTTATATTTCAAATTCTTCTTTTTAGAAAT